CTAATGCAAGGCTGGCGTCTCCGATCGGCAGCGCATGTTCACTTCTCTGACCTCACTGTTGTATCCCTTCGTTCTCCGTATCGTCCCAGTTTATCCCCTAGTCCCCTCGTTCATAAGTTGCGACCACCCGCCGCCCAGTCATCCTTTCACTTGGTGCCTAACGACCTTTGACCGTTGCATCTCCAATTCAACCTCTCTCTCGTTTTATTTCGATCTCTCGCCTCTCCGATCTGATCCTACCAAAAGATCCCCCACGCGTCGCCTCTGTCACACTCACGCATTGCCAAGTCTGATCTACACGGCAGTCGCCATCGCCTGGGTCCGCAGTTTTCGTAGTTGCCAGTACAACCTCCCAAGGCTCAACGCCGACGGAAGCTAAAGCCTCAGGGTCCTTTCCCTGCATCTCACCTCAACACCAACGGAACATCAACAGAAATCTTTCTCTCTGGCCGCCACACGACAAACATGGCCGTCGAGGCTCGCTCCCTCGCCTCACTCAATTTCCTCGCCGCCAATCCTCCTCAGTATCCCGTCAACCCAACCGAGGAGAAACAGGACCCTCTCACCCTATACATCTCCCGTGTGCCGGGCACCCGAGGTGAGCCAGCGTCGTCAGCACGCCGCCGCCACCAAACAGTGGTTCACGTCTCAGACTAATGCTTTCCCTCAGACATCATTCTCTCCACTTCAAAACCTCAAGTCAAGAATGTCACGTCGCATGATGTCGCCAATTCGCTCTACTACATTCACCTCGAGCTCCCTGGTGAGGCGCCGACGCGGAGCATCGACACCCCAAGGTCGAGCATTGAGAGTGGTCGCAGCGTCAATCAGATCAAGAGGAAGCCTCTCCCAGCCGGCGCTCAAATAGCCCCCGCTCGCGACCAGTCACCGGCGGCCGACAGGTCGCCCGTCAGAGACAGCGGCGTAGCTGTCGCGGATTTCCAAGTCAAGCAGCAACGGGCGACAGATGAGATCGACACGCGCATATGGACAGGCGATGGCAGGACATACTACAGTGTAGAGGATCCATCAGGCGCGCGAGATGACGTACGAGAAGCTCCATCGCCCGTGGATGGCCGTCATCCCCTCGACCGGGAATTACCACCTCTGCCAGAACGCCCAGCACCTTGGCCGCGCGAGCGAACGCGCTCACGGTCCCCTTCCCCTATCAAGTATCACAACACCACCGCCACCCCGTACACCCTCCCTATCATCCGCCGCGATCCCAACACGGGCCACCAGTGGAGT